TGAACTGGAGCCCCCTCACTCACCCCGCCCTTCCCGGAACCGCCCGCAAAGCAAAGTGAACTGCGCGTCCCTCTCGGCCGCAGAGCAATGGAGGCGAGGGGTTGGGGGTTGGGGGCTGGGGGCTGGGGGCTGGGGGAGGAGGAGTGCAGGAAATAAGAGTCTTTAGCAAATAACGCGCGGCTGAAGCGGGGCGGGTCGCTTGCTGGTATCTCCGGCCGGCCCGGAGCCGAGCCCTCTCCTGGGTTTCGGGCTCTTTCGCGGTTAGCTAGAATCAATTACTCGCCTTGTCATTTCTAGTACTCATCCTTAAGCCCCAACCAAAATATTGACCTAGGAGGCTTACAGAAGTTGGGCTCTTGCCATTTGAACCGGATCTTGTTTAGGGAGCCACCAGCGATGGGAAGGAGAGATTTCCGCAGCGAGGCCTTCGCCCCCTCCCCCCCGTTCCAAAGGCGCCACGAATCGCCAATTTTCCAGCTTGCCGGGGGTGGGCGCGCGGGGGCGGGGAGGCAGGAACCGGTGAATGTTAAAGAGGATTTTTTTCCCTCCTCCTGGTTTCTGTTTTGTTCCCCCCCCCTTTTTAAAGATGCCATTTGTTAAAACGGCCTTTTCAAGTGTGTGGACTCGTGAGCGACGCGGTGGTCCTTTGTATGTAAATACCGCGTAAAAAAAGGCTCGCCCCGTCTTTGCAATTAATTGACACGTTACACCTCTCATCTTGCTCTAGAGGGCCGTTGGCTGGGAGCGCGGAGCTCCCCAAAACCCACAATTTCACATCTGCAAATACTGTCTTCATCCACTTGACTCCCAAGACCCGCCCACACGTGGCCAACCTTTGCGTTTTTAATGTCTCTTCCCCTTTTTTCCACCCTTCTCTCGCTCCCTCTCTTGCTCCCCCTCCCTCCCTCCTTCTTTCCCTCCCTCCCTCTCTCTCTCCCCCTCTCCCCCCTCCCCAGGTTCGTGAGTGGAGCCCAGCCTTATATGGACTGATCGCGCGGGCAATGGCCCATTTTTTCCTCGCTACCAGCCGCCACCGCGCGCCGAGCGGCGGCCGGAGCCCGAGCTGACGCCGCCTTGGCACCGTCCTGGACTTACAAACTGAGGCCGGGCCAGCGCGCGGCGCAGGCGCCGCTCCCTGCGTCCGTCTCCGCGCGCTCTCTGAGAGGACCGAGGCACTGGGCTGGGCTTGATTTTTTTTTTCTTTCCCGTCCCCAGTTTCTTTCTCTCTTTTTAAAAATAATAATTATCCCAATAATTAAAGCCCATCCCCCTCCCCTCCCCCAGTCCCTCCCCCCCAACCCCCTCCTCCGCCCTCCAGGGCTGGGGAGCACCACGAATTGACCAAGTGAAGCTACAAATTTGCGACGTAAATTGCGGGGTCTCGAATCATGTCGCTGACCAACACAAAGACGGGGTTTTCGGTCAAGGACATCTTAGACCTGCCGGACACCAACGATGAGGAGGGCTCGGTGACCGAAGGGCCGGAGGAGGAAAACGAGGGGCCCGAGCCCGCCAAGAGGGCCGGGCCGCTTGGGCCAGGCGCCCTGGACGCGGTGCAGAGCCTGCCCCTGAAGAGCCCCTTCTACGACAGCAGCGACAACCCATACACTCGCTGGCTGGCCAGCACCGAGGGGCTCCAGTACTCCCGTAAGTAGCGAAACTCCGCTGCCCAGGCCGAGGCCGCCCCCACTGCGGCTGGGCTGGACGTGGGAGCAAGCGGGGAAGGGGCCGCGCACGCCGGGATGCCTCACCCGCGTCCCCAGAAGAACTCTTAACACCTGTTCAGGGCGCC